TTTTGCTGGATGCTATGGATGTAAATTATTAAGTGTTTGTTTACCTAACAATTTTTCAGTTTATCAGTTAATTTGTGATTAAGTATCTTTAGAGTGTGCTTTGACTAACAGCGTAGAGTAACGAAAAACTAAATTACAAAATACCTTGAGTCTCCTGATCTCAATCGACATAGGAACGTAGCGAGAATCACAACCGGAGACTTCGTTTACTGGCGTCAATGTACTGTCAAGCATAACTCCAGACATTACTGTTTTTGCCTTTCGGTGTATAAGCTTATTTGTAAACTGTTCAAGGCACTTTTACTAAGGGCCTGAAACACTTCTGTTTTAATTAAATTCATTATAAATTAGTGTTTTTTTTATCCAAACAATTTAATGATTTGATTAATTTTTTTTCATCTTATTGAAATTAATCGATTAGACGGGCACTAAATATAGTATCACATATTTAATAATAAACAGTAACGTTTTGCCAACATTTTTAAAAAACTATTACGAAATACTAAACGATCCTAAAACAAGACTTTAGAACGTTTACTGGTTTGCTTTTACCATGTCATGAATTACAGATATTAATCACTTCGGAAACATAAATTTACTAATAGAACACAAAATAAAACCAACATATTTTGTAGTTTACATACGATTATAGTGAAATCATATAACTGCTCTTTGTATTTTAAGTACAAGGTCTTATTTTTTGAGCCTGAGCTTAAAATGTATGCGCAGTTCAACCATTGTTAATAATAGAAAAGTAAAGCACGACAGTAATAAATTGAGTATCATATGTTATTGTTCTAATATTTCTTATCTTTTACCAAAGATTTTCATAACAAAAACTAATTGTGTAAATCCTGTTTTTATGAATGCAATCTTCTCACCCTTGTTCTAAGTTAAATAACGCTTAGATATTTACAAAGAAAACACCGAAAGTAAACATTGTGCAAGTAATCTCTTCAGCTTTCTCATAGCTTATTATTAGATACACCATCTAATAAATTTAATTTATTTATTCCAGATCTTTATCATCGCTGCGTGCATCGCTTACGCTTCAGCCGGAGCGATCCCTGCCTACGCCCCCGCAGCATACGCCGCCCCCGCTGTCGCCGCCCCCGTAGCATACGCTGCCCCCGCACCTGTGGCATACGCTGCACCCATTGCTAAAGCCGTCGACGCTGACTACGACCCCAACCCCAGCTACAGCTACGCCTACGACATCAAGGACGCTTTGACCGGAGACTCCAAGAGCCAGCAAGAGTCTCGTCAAGGAGATGTAGTCAGCGGATCCTACAGCCTGGTCGAGCCTGACGGTTCCACCAGAACTGTCGAGTACACCGCCGATCCCGTCAATGGATTCAATGCCGTCGTCCACAAAGGAGCTGCTGTTGCCGCCGCTCCCGTTGCTTACGCCGCCCCCGCCGTTGCTGCCCCTGTAGCTAAGGTGGTTGCACCTGCTCCGGTAACTTATGCTGCTCCCGCATATGCCCCTGCTGCTTATGCTGCCCCAGCAGCTTACGCCGCTCATGCTGCATACGCCCCTGCCACATACGCCGCCCCCGCTGCTTACGCTACTCATGCTACTTACGCACCCGCCTCATACGCTGCCCCCGCTGCCTACGCCTCATACGCCGCCCCCACTGCCTACGCCGCTCATGCTGCCTACGCTCCTGCTGCCTACGCCACCCCCGTTGCCAGGGTAGCTGCCCCTCTTTACGGTTAAGCACTTCCTACCTCACTCATCAAGATTCATGGTGACAGAAATACTTGGCGGGTATCCCGCTATACACTAGTCTTGTACCTACATCTGCAACTGGATTGCTCAATAAACCTGTTATACAAAACACCTAACTGTTTATAATTTTATCATGTGCCTTTTAACTATAAAGTATACTTCAGTTCCTAAATCATTAGTCAAGTAGGGTTGTAAGTAAAAAATAAACTCAATGTTTTCAGAATTGTTAGATTTTTATAAAGTTTTAGTACTTAGAAGGCGCTAAAAACTAAAGCTATTAAGATTGGGTTTTCTAAGAAGACATTTTCGTACGAAAATTCTTTAGGAATGAAATAAAACACAATAAGATTATACGCCAATGCATTTGTTGTTGCACGAATTATCCTATTTGTGTTATTACTCCGTTCATATCTTATGTATTACCAGACAAAAAACCAATCAATTCCGAAACTCTGACACAGCAATCGCAAAAAGTTGCTAAGCTGCTAATACGCCTACACGTGTCGTTACACAATCAGACCTAAATGTCGTCGGACTGTCAAGAGGATTCGTCATTATCAAATTTAAACTTGTAATCAAAGTTTTATCAAAATTTTAATTGTAATTTGAGTAATTCCCCTACTAAGAATTCAAAAATATGTTACACTGAGAGTTTCAATAAATTAAAACTTTAGGGTCGTTTCAAAAAATAATAAATGTATCATAAATTTCAGTACACCGCCTTATCTTAAATTTCCAAAGTTTACAGATTAAAAGTAAGTCATATCAAACATATACTGAAATGGAAGGTGGAAGGACTCGATATGACATCAGAAGACATAACACTAGCATTTGCCATGTGTAAATAACTTTCCCGCCAAGTGTGGAGACAACAGAATGGCGGAGCTACATGGATCATTCATATACAACTCCATCGTTGGCATTGCTGTTGTGATGACTGATGACGATGCTAAGCAGACCAATGAACCTATACGTACAACCCACGCATACTTGGTACAACCACAACTGAGTTACAAACCTACAATTGAAATAAACTTATCTTACGCCCAATTTTTATTTTGGAACATATAACATTAACATTAGGCACTTTCATTATGTAAAAATTTCACATAAAAAATGAACTCTAGATAATTTTATATGCAATGAGTTTGTATGTATATATTCATATATAGATATAGTATAATGCGTTCATGTGAAGTCACTTCTCAATTCAAAGTGTTAACGGAGTGAGGATATAAATTGTTAATATATGTTTCAAAGTGCTAAGCCATGCATATCACCGAACAACTGTTATATTTCTAGAGTATTATACGATCCTGGTTAGAGGGAGTAGTGATAAGTAATTTTATTCCTTAATTCAAAGCTGTACAAAAACACTTTGGGAGACAAGACCAACAGAAGGGTAGACTGAACTGGGGGACTGTCTTCCTAGTTCCAAAACTAGAAAATTTTCTCAACGTCTTAGTGGTGAAGGGGTTTTGGTTACATGATAATGCAAAAATGTTGTTAGTGTTGCAACTTAGGCAATAAGGGATGGCTCGGAAATAATATTCAGTTGTTCTACGGGAGGAGAGGTTTCTCCGTATTAGAGATCTCTGTCCACTTTTTATGGCGGCCAGACTGGACGAGGAGCCGCCCCCCTAGACTCGGCCAAGGACGACCACGCCCTGCTCTGTCTTATGTTAAATTAATATTCATATTGCAAAAATATCAATGCTAATGTCACCTCAAATTGGGCGACATACATAAAATAATCCATTGAAAAGTAAGCTTATCTTTGCTTCGAAACTCCAGGAGTAAGTTTTGGAAGTTCTCACATTTGTTTACAGGCAGTAGGTTTATATTTGAAGCGTTCTAAACTCATCCTTCGCTCATATTTGGGTTAAAATACGCATCTAGGTGGCGTCCCCATCTCAATGATTGATAATAATAATTTAGGTACCATGCTTATTTTACTGTCAAAAAGCGTATAATGTTAACATTAATGATCATTTATGGTCAGTTAATCATAAATTCTTTGAGACAGCGGGGCAAACTTGAGTACATATTTAAAGCTGGATTTGCTGCATGTAAGAGGAGTGTAGAATGCACTGATAAGATCTGTGTAGCTTTCTAAGAGCAGGTGTTTCATTAGTCAGGGATATTTATTAAAAGCCCAGTAATCAAGGGTATAAAGGATTTCGAACCAACAATAAGCTATATAACATAAACAGCCAATTTTGAATGAATTCCCAGTTTAAACTGTGTGTAGAGTGCCTGATAAAGGATTATTATATAGTATCAAATTCTTTATTTGACTCGGCAGTTGTTATTAATTTCAATTCAGCAGTATAGTAGGTAACATATTAAAAATAGTCTTTCTGGTATTGGATGAGTGCACGAGTGAATGGCCGTTTCGTACAAAAAACATATTATTTTAAGCTTTATGTTTTGCCTAGTCTATCACGTACAGCCTTCGAAGCCTGATTGGAATACACCCTGCAACTGGATAACAAATAAAGTGTCAATCATCCTTGTGTAATACAAGAAAATAGGTGTTATAACCAGTGTATATTAAGCTTCACTCAATGGCGCCTCGTACAAACAAGGTTGGTTGTACTTGTTATGGGTCTTTGATTATTGATGGATACTGCAATGTATTAAATGCAATTTACAGTAAACATGTCAAGGTACAATGCATTCATTTAAAGGTAAAAATCCTAACCAACAATAATCATTTACATAGTCAGTCATTAACTGGATCCCAACTTAGAGTATAACTAGTAAATAACCTTTTCGGTCGTAACTAGATTTTGATCAATTTTCTTTCTATGCCTTGAAACCGATGTTTTCTAGTGGATTAAATGCTTGGCAGGAAACACATAATCTCATCAGAAATCATGTGGATACAGTGAAACCATAATTTGATCACGAGGTAGAACCTTATTGTTTATCCTATACATATTTTTTTTCAAATGCTACAGTACAAAATTATTTAGTACACTTAGCATTGTACTGGTGTGATGCACATAATCCCACTTTAAACCCATACCATCAATTTGCTCATACACCATAGTACATATGGATGAATCATGTTCCCCAGCCTTATATACCAATTAACTACTGTATAGTGGATAATCACTCAATGACTTAAGATGACCAGCTGTGATGTTGTGGGTGAGGGGAGGGGGGGGAGAGAAAGTGACCAGGGGTGACTCGCCCCGGCGGCGCAGCGGCCCACCACCTACTATATAACACCACGTCTCCACACCTGACTCCAATCGTCACCATGGCTTACCAGGTGCGTCTCGTGTTGTGTGTTCAGTGTAGTGATTAGTTTTTAGTGTAGTCTGCATATTAGTGTATTTCATAGAGGTTTTGAGTGCTTCTTTTAAATTGTTATCGTGATTAGAACGATTAAAGAACGTGTTTTCTCAATCGCAATTTTTTAGGTTAAGTTTTAGGGCTTTTTTAAATTTTATGTTGGTTAGTTGAAATTTTTTAGTTTCGCATACAAAAAGTATTTTATTTTTATTTGGTTTCATTTCGGTTTACGTAAATGCTTAAAGTGTATCTCTTTGTGACAAACTGGCTGAAGCCAATTGTTACGAAGTCCAAAAAGTGTTTTTCCAATAATTCCTAAGCATACTATCAAAGTTTCTTAAATTTCTTAATATTTTACTGATTTCTTTATAAATAATAAAAACAGGAGTACAGTATTATCCTTATACACAATTTCTGGATTCGCCCCATAGATCGCGACAATCTCATAACACAATATAAGTAAATCGAATAAAATAAATTATGTCTTCCTATACATTTTGATTTTATCTACACCATACGAGCAAGGTTTGGAACCATAAAAAAGTATCGAAATACGTAATTTAAATAGTTGAGCCAAAACTAAAATGAGGTTAAAAACAGGTCTAAAGTTAATTAAAAAATGTATCCTCGGGTTTGCGAGATTTGTCAAAATCTAGTTTATATTATCTTGGTAAACTTTCATCTGCATTCAATATGATGTTTGATAAAACTCCTAATAAACTAATTACTAGAGGCAACTATTACAATTTTGTGTTGCTGTAAAAAGTTTCGAAACAGGAGAGCAATATCAATTGTGTAGTGAATAATACGAATACTTTACATTTATAATTTATAAACGAACAGAGCAATATTCATTCACCCGAAACGTATAAAAATATTGAAGTTCTAAGCCATTATTCGATTCGTATTACTATATTTTGGAGTGTGTTTTTTTTTTCTTTTTTTAATAGATGAGAAATGATTAGGTTACTATGGAAAACAGTGAAACGCCTTATTATTTTCATCAACGTTTGGCTTGGGAATTATTTTACTATTTAAATTGTTTTTATTACAGTTTTCGAAAATCGATCATACTCCCTTGGCCATAACCGTCATCTTGAAACTTGTTAAATAATATTAATATGAAATTTTGAATTGCTGATAAATATAAATAGAAAAATCTGAAACTTGAGCTATATCAAAATTAAATGTTTAAACTACTATCTGGCTGATGGAATATATAGGATTTTAGAAAATTTTTCAATTGTTTGTTTATTAATTTGAATACATTGATAGCTAGAATGATCTTATTTACATATAATCCCATTCAGTCAAAGTTCAGTGTGTTTTTATCACAAAATTTAGTTATTTAGTATCACATGGATTTAGTTTTTAATAATATAAAAAAAATCTATTCTTGTGATACAAGATTGCAAAGTAATTTAGTATTAAATAGTATTAAACACAAGGGTGTAAACTGAATAATAATATAAAAACATGTCTTGATAAAAAAAACGGACATAAGCTTGATTGGCCTTAAAGCATGAGTCCAAACACCTATCAAAAAACGTCACTTGTCTGATAGAAAACTAATTCCCAGCATGTTCAAAAAAACGTACTTAAACTTGTATTTTTTCAGTAGAGTATGGAGTATAGCACTTTCAAATACCTTTATTCTTCTGTCATAGAAAAGTAATAATAAACCATTAAATTAAATAATATACCAACAAATTACTTTACTTTTTTTACTTTAAAGTTTTTTTATTCACCTCTGGATTACTCTGTTATTTAGTGGCTAACTAGATGTTTAAGATTAAAAAGGTAAATACATTGTTAAAAATTTTAAAGTTGAAAAAAAATATTAACCATATTTTTCTGCAGTTCGTCGTTCTCTCCACCCTCGTGGCTGTTGCCACCGCTGCCGCCGTCGTCCCGGCCTACGCCCCCGCCGCGTACGCCGCCCCCGCCTACCCTGCCTACGCCGCCAAGGTTGTGGCTCCCGCCTACGCCGCCGCCCCCGCCTACGCTCCTGCCTACGCCAAGGCCGTCGACGCCGACTACGACCCCAACCCCAGCTACAGCTACTCTTACGACATCAAGGACGCTCTGACCGGAGACTCCAAGAGCCAACAAGAGAGCCGTCAGGGAGATGCTGTCCAGGGATCCTACAGCCTGGTCGAGCCTGACGGTTCAGTCCGTACCGTTGAGTACACCGCTGACCCCCACAACGGATTCAACGCCGTCGTCCACAAGACCGCCCCCACATACGCCGCCCCCGCTTACGCCGCCCCTGCCTACGCTCCTAAGGTCGCCTACGCCCCCAAGGTCGTTGCCCCCGCCGCCCCCTACTACGGTTAAGTCAACTCCTCTCTCTACCTCTTCATTGCTCACTCCATGACGGCGTTAAAGCTGGTATCCTGTTTCAACATCGTCATGGTACTCATCCCTCGTAATATTGTATATATATATTTATTTTTATAAATCTGTTTTACAATAACTAAAACATGTCTAATGCTTTCATAAAGCCCTGATCCTTACAATTTTTCTTTTAGTTACAGCTTTAGTCGTCTGTAAATGAGATTTGAAAATTAATCGTTAGACCAAAGCCTTTCTTTCAGTTGCAAAATATAATATTAAAAGATCCAATTAATACTATAGATGCTAGCACACACTTCTCATATGAAAAGAAGTGTAAAGCATGCTACAACACGTGCAACAATGCACCACATGCCAATTATGGGTAGATAAACTTAGCTGAATGAACTTAGTTTTGTTGATTAAATCAATCATCATTTTTCAATCATCAATCAATCATTTTTGTTGATTACATCAAAATGTTTTAACGAATTCCATTGCAGACCTCAAAATATTATACTAACCTTAAGAGATTCATATATCACTAATAATCATTCCGAGTTATCTTATCATGACCCTCCTTTTCAGTAAGGAAAATTCAACTGTATTATAATAATTACTAAATAATTAGTAATGCCTAGTATTTTAACACATCCGATCAAAAACGCATTTTACGTATGATGCTCAATCTATATATTAATTTGAAACTGTTTTTCTTTGTGACAGCTATTTTGAGAGAACGGCTGGGCGTAGAAACTCGGTAGAGGTGTCTAAATAAAGGTCCTGGTCTGTAGATGAGCCATCAAAAGAGAAACATTGAGAATTCCCTCGGGGCTCTGCCCCAGTGGCCTTTAAATTCCCATCCCATGTTATTCTTATGGAGGAAAACGAGGTTTTTGTCACAGCTAATTTGAGAGAACGGCTGGGCGTAGAAACTTGGTAGGGGTGTCTAAAGAAAGGTATTGGTCTGTAGGTGAGCCCTCGAAAGAGAAACAATGTAAATTTCCTTGGGGCTCTGCCCCAGAGGCCTTTAAAGTTCACTCTGCAATTTTGTTTAGATTTCGACCATATGGATAATTTTACACTACTTTTAATGAACCAGCTGTTAATATTAAAATTGTATTCAAAGGTCTACTGAAACTGTCAAAATTAAATGTTTACATTATTATTTATGATTTTAAATGGATTCTCTACTGCATGGCAAGTTTTTTATAGTTTCAACAAAATGATGAATTTATGATACGTTTGAAATGTTTTGTTCAAAAATCTATGCTTTATTGCTCTTAGAAAATTTTAAATTATGAAATAAGTGTGACTTATCAATTTCAAAGGAACATATAACTATTCCTTATCGGGTTAGCTTATACATATTGTAAGGTTGGCACTTGCCTTTTTTCCTACTTTCAATCACCATTTATTTTTAAATTCAAGAAAGAACACCTGAGATTCATTTATTGGTATAACAGTTTTTGATAATCGGGTTGAAAATTGTGTCATAGATGAGTACGTTGAGGATGAGAGCTGTGTTCAAGTTTTGTAATGTCAATTCAGGTATTTAAAAAAAATGTGTACACAGTTTTTACTTTGATGTACACATGTAGCTAGGTTGAACAACGCATCTAAACCTCACTACATACAAAACATTCGGAAACACAACAGTGTCATCACATCTCATCGCATTTGCATAATTTGTTACCAATGCTGGACTAGGTTATGGATTTGGTTCCGCAAATGTTCAAGATTTGTGATAAAATTTCCTACAATTATGGTTCATTCCAATCCACGAAATACATGCACAGCTTTATGTGATCTATATGGCCTAGGCAAAACTACCCCATAAGTTAATTAATTATCGAGTAAGAACAGGATGATTACATACATGGGTCGATAAGGCAAGAGAAGGATTTAAAATTGCTGAGATCGAAGTAAGATGTTACTGCTTTCTGGAGAATCAGATATTTTTATCAAAAAAAGATGAAGATTTACATCTTTTAAGATAAATCCGGATACAATCTGAATGATTTCCCTAAAGCAGATGGAATTAGTGGTTAGTAATAAATATTGACTCTTTCCGTAACATAATAGACTAATTATATGAACTCATTCTCCCATATAGTGAAAGTGGCTTTGGTATGAAACAAACTCATGAACAAACAATTATAAGACTCCTAAAAAACCTTTTGGGCAACCTAAAGCCAATAAAAAGAAAGGTAGGAAATATTGTGTTAAACGAATTCATCAATCACGTTTTTTAGGGAACACAATAGTCATACTTATTATTGCTTATCCTCCCTTCATATAACTAAGATTTTAATGACTTTACCCTATCCAACGCAGTTAGCTGAATTTACATAAAACCTCAAGATTAACCGTCGATTTCGACGGGGTTCCACTAGTAACTGACGAATCATGCTTTGGGGACAGCAGTTTTCTTTCATACAAAATTTAATCTGCGTTCAGAATGGCCACATATAACTACGTCCGAATTACAACATACCAATGGACTATCATTATAATAGGCTGATTGTTTAGATTTAAGTGTACTTGGAGTTCAATATCTCGGAGTAAAACTGAACTTGGCCTTTGTCGTCCTATAATGTTCAACCGTCTTATCAAAGGAGACATACCATTCATACGGACCAGCTATAGCCAGTTACCTTATGATTATAAAAGAACAAGCCAAAGAGACCGATCGAAGAATAATCTTTTATCGAAATTTCAGTTTCTCTCTTAGTGATTGATAATATGGATTTGGCCAGCAATGTGTTATAGGTCACAACGTCTAACCTTCAGTTCAGTTAACTATGAAATATGGTGGTAAGTAATCGTAATCAAGATAAGAAATGATGGCATGTATTATAATAGCGACGAGAAAATTTAAGAAAGAATAATACATTATAAGGGAATAATAAAGTATTTCCATATAGAAGTGAACTAGTGGGGGGTGAGCTGGAAGGTTTAAAAGTTTTTTTTCTGTACAATTAATTTTCTTATCGAGGTATTTGATTGTAATTCATTTTATATTCCCCTGGATGAAAACAAAAAGGTTTATCATTATTATTGAATTTTGATATTTAATGTGGACATACTATCGGGGTTATTAGTGTTTGTTTTGCCAAATGTTAAACAAGTAGGAAATATGTTTCAAAGTAAATCTCTGAGTCCATAACGTTCTGGATTCTTTTATAAGCCTTTGGTGCCATCACAAACCCAAATGCATGCAAATCAAAGCAGTAAACGATTAAATATGCCAAATCGTTTAATGTGCCATATTTTATTTATGTTATGGAGTAAAGTGTAGGCGAAAGTAAGCAGGAACATAATTTGAAATAACACTCTGATTTATTACTCAAACTACTTTTATTTACGTCGTGCGAATAGTTAAAAATGGAAATTTAATTACAACACACTTTTTAGGATGATTAAACCATATATTTTTAATACTGTAGTAGAAATCTAATACATATAACAAACAGCTGTAGTCATCTTTGCAACTCAAAGAGGACGTCGTTTATTGAGCCTCTTTCTGCTATTGAAGTTATTTTTCTTTTTGCTGCTTGTATAAACATTGTTTATATAACGATTTGTTTACATGATGATGATAAATTATCCTTTCAAAGTGAAATTATTAAACGTATAAGTAAATTAAAACATACTTTTTAGCCGACTTTTTAGCCAACTCGGCTGAGTTAAATTCTATTCCTATTTGAAGGTAATGTATCCTATGGTCATATAATAACGAGAAACTTTAAAAATAGTCAACTAAAAAAACAGTTATGTAGCTAAAAAGTCATTAGTAAAAAAAATTGTGTGAAAACACAAAATAATTAAACCACAAAAACGCGACCTTATAGAACTTACTTATAAATTTATTCAATTACAAAAATATCAGTCAAGTTACTTACTTTTAACAACAGTTATTTATTCTAAAATGCGTGGCTTGAGTGCCTAGCAACAAATCGTTAGAGCACGCCGTTAGACTTAAACCGAAAACGGTGTTTAACATCATTTCGATATAGCAAGGGCTTACTATAGTTCGGCCGCTTAGAAAGCGACCTCCTCCAGCATTGGTTTAGCATTAGCGCGCAGGTCGTTTTCTAAGCGGCCGAACTATAGCTGTCAAGATGACACATTCGGTAGTCAAGATTATGCAACGTACAGCTACACCTTTGTACAGCTGCAACAATGTGTAACCCATAGCAACAATCAATCACAATGACAATCAATCAAACTGCACTGATGAGGTCGGACAGACATTCATTGTTGTTGGTGTTGTTGAAATGCACACGTGCCTTCAGGTGATAAGTAGATGAAACATACTCCCTTACACATGTGGCATGTAATAGCTCAGCTGAAGGTACTTCAATTAGGGCGGGCATTAATTGCGCCAACTGACCTGAGTCAGGTAGTCGGGTATTCCTGGATTGCGCCAACTACTCCTTCCAGGGAGCCACCCGATAGTTCATTGATAGCACCAAGTGATAGCACCCTCTTTGACTGTATAATTGAGTAGGTTAGCTTACGTTAGGTTAGGATAGGTTAGGTTAGGATACGTTAGGATGACACGTAAACAAGGACGTTCCTTCTGCCGGCAACTCACCCCTTCTTGGCTTGGACTTGGCGCAACTAAGGAACTTTTTTAGGTCCCTTTGAGGGCTTGGCGCAATTAATGCACGACCTTCAATTAAGGGATGTATATCTCCGGTAGTGCTTTAGTGTGGTGGTGTATTCTTTTTACCTATATTGATTGATTATATAAGAACACAAAAAATCTGAATCGTCAAATAGATCCATCTACGTCAAAAAAAGGGATTCTTCTAGTAAGCATAAACTGTAAAATTTAGTCATAAATAAAAGAAACCCATTTGGTCAACGTCAACTAAGAGCTATACCGGGTATGAAAACGAACTTCAAATAGAACGACAAGTGTAAGTGCTCAGATAATGAACATACGTGTTAGTTGACTGAAAATAATAATAAGGGTAACGCACTAATTGTAAGTGTTACCGGCTAAGTGTTTGATCGGTTATTCTATAGAATGCAGGTAACCTATATATTGCCTAGTGTCAGCCAAAGTGGGAAATAAGACCCATTATAAACTTTGTAATTTTATAGGATGCCTGATGGCTCTTGAGGTAAAGTAAAAATACGCTCGTGCGACTTTTTTTAGTTAATTTCCTTGTTTGGCATTAACTAAGATAACCTAAACCATTTATACACGAAACATTTTAATACTGTATTGTTAAATAAATAGTTTTTTGTGAACGAATATCTTTATTTTAAAATTTTACCTAACTCGAAGGTGGGTATTCTATAAAGTGCCTAACACAATACCTAGACAAAGTATACAAACCACCATTACTATTACTCCATTTCATACTTTTCCTATTATCTATAGGCAATGTGCTGACAGCGTAGTCATTCTATTAAATTAATACTTAGCCGGTAACGTATACGATTTAATAAGTCGAGTAGTGAATATACGAGGAGTCAAATTGGTCAAATTAGTCGTTCCATATTGTTTAAATTAGAATTAGATTTTAAATTTGTTGAAATTTAAAATTATGAAATAGGGGAGAAAATAAAATATATCAATAGTATATATCTTCTTTATAAAATAGTGAATAAAAACTGCTACTTGTCTAGTTAGTAAAATCTAACTAAGTTAAAATCAGCCTCTTACAAATTAAAATCCTTAACGAAAGGCAATAATCTTTAAATCTTAAGCAACCTTTACCACGCTAAGATCGATTCTTAATCCAGATATAAATTTTTATAGTTCGAAATTGGATGGTAACTAGGCTATGAGTTAAACCGTTCTCTTACAAAGAAATCTCTCAAAAATACTGATGGTGTTACGTTTAGCGTCAAACATAAACTCACACTTTACCAATTAACAAGTAATAGAGGCCGTCCAGTGGTTGAAACTCGACCAAAAATATGCAATTTAGAGACTTCACTACTTTTACAAGACACTTTCAATAAAACATGCGATTGGTGTTTCTTCCATTTGTTTTTATTTTCTGTATATATTTTGTTGTTATTTCATTACAGTACCAGCATGGCAACCCATAAGATCCGTGTAAATTTTTTCAAAATTTTAAATTCATTTTCTGTGCTTATTTTTGAGCCTATTTTAATTTATAAAGGCATTCTGCACATCTACAGGAAAATGTCTTTCCAACAGTATGCGTAGATTTCCCCTGCGATGCACACGAGCTGAGAAAAAAGGTTTTAAAGAAACATGCTTGCCTATTAATATATAGAAAGAAGATAGATAGATTACCAATTGAGATGAGGCTGCCACCTAGGTGCGTATTTTAAAACAAATATGAGTTAAGGATTGCTGTAGAATAAAGTTTGATGATCCGTGTAGCTTTGTTCAGCTGATTCATTAGCCAGAAAAATCTAATTTAATCACAATGATCAGGTGGGTCCAGTTTTGAGCTTTCAAAAAGCTACTGACTTTTCTCAGGATCAAACCGACGACCTACCAGTTATTAGGATAACAATTGGGACCACGTACAATTTTTACCACTCTGGATAAATCAGTAGCACTGGACAAACAAATGTTGCTCATTTTAAGCTCAAGCTTAAGTTTTAAATAAAACGCAAGTTATTATGTTAGTTCAGACTAGCATGCTAAGAACCCTAAGGCATAGACAACATGTAGTAAAGATTTATCTTTAAAAAGTGTATAGGTTGCTGAGTAGTCCGTACCAATATTGGTATATATCCTCCCATTTAAATAGCTATGAGGCGTAAAAAGATGCAGCCGCCGCAGCATTTCTTATTTTATTTATTTGCTACAACACTACACGTCAGTATTATGCAGTTGTTGAAGAAGATTCATTTAGTTTAAAACGATAATAGTTTAGTTATTGGTTACAATCAAATGATTTAATAACAAGGGTAATTTATTTAAAAGCTTAAAAACAAAAGATGGTGGCGTTCAGTTTCAAACTATAAAAAGCGATTATCTTTCTTTGGATCTAAAACCCTAACATATTTCTCTTAGGGATTTACATATATATAAATATTAAAATATAGTTGGATTATCAATTCCAAATTTTAAATTAAACAATGTTACTGTGAGGAATGTCTAAGGGTTGTTGGATTTCGAAAAATATGTACGCATGAGTAGGTTTGCATGAAAACAAGTATAGATGTTTATTTACATGGCATGAGGAACAATAAATAATTTACAGTGAGCACATGATTGGTACAACAGCAGGATACCCGCTAAATAAATACTTGATTTCAAGCTAGAAACCTAACCGTAGTAAGGGGCAGCAGGGGCAACGACCTTGGGGCCGTAGGCAGCGGGGGCGGCAACCTTAGCGTAGGCGGGGGCGGCGACCTTAGCGTAGACGGGGGCGGCGGCGTAGGCGGGGGCGGGAGCGTAGGCCTTGACGGCGACGGCGGGGGCATCCTTGTGGACGACGGCGTTGAATCCGTTGTGAGGGTCAGCGGTGTACTCAACGGTACGGACTGAACCGTCAGGCTCGACCAGGCTGTAGGATCCCTGGACAACGTCTCCGTTGCGGCTCTCGTGCTGGCTCTTGGAGTCTCCGGTCAGAGCGTCCTTGATGTCGTAGGCGTAGCTGTAGCTAGGGTTGGGGTCGTAGTCAGCGTCGACGGCCTTAGCGTAGGCAGGAGCGTAGGCGGGGGCGGCGGCGTAGGCGACGGGGGCAACGGCCTTAGCGACAACGGGGGCGTGGTAAGCAGGGGCAGCGTAGGCAGCGGGGGCGTAGGCATGGGCAGCGTATGCTGGGGCGGCGTAGGCTGGAGCGGCGTAGGCAGGGGTGGCGTATGCCTTGATGGGGGCACCAGGTGCCACCACGGCGGGGGCGGGGTAGGCGGGAGCGATGACGCCGGCGTACGCGGCGGCCACCACGGAGGCGAAGACGAAGAACTAAAATAGAAGAATATTTTTTAGAGAGGTTATAAGGTAACAGTAGAGAGGTAATAACATTATCATTTTTAACCCATGTGTAATACTTCAATAAAAACCCCTTATTAATGATTAAACTGAAAACTATTGTAGAACTATTAGTTCTACTATAGTATCCTAAAATGTACTTAACTATGTATAAAGTTTATGATAAATGTTGGCTAAGAAAATTCTGAGTGGAATTTGATTTAATATAATTTTTCTAACTACGATTTACTAGTTGCTAGTCACTTCAAAAAACTACAGATAATTGTATATATTAATGATTATAGCAATTAAGGTAAATAACTTTTTTAAAGGAAATAACATTCATCGTGTAAAAATGTTGTTATGTCAATTACGAAAAATTTATAAATTCATCTAAACTCAATTAATTATTTTACACCGATCTTATTACGGGACTACTCCGCCAAGCAAATCCCATTAATGAAGTCACAAAGCATCTAGGACAGGGTAAAGTTGAAAGATTCATTAACGAGCCCCGTATTAGGGCAGACTGAAGTGCAGCTGGGCGTGCACCTTAACCGTGTAGCCGTGTTATGAAACAATAATTGACAGCGATGTGTCGGGCAGGGCGGAGACCCGTTGAGCAAGTCGCCTTGGCCCAGCACTCGAGGCTATTATATCACCCTTTGTTGCATCTTAGCCTTACAATTCCCTCTAACATGCCCCCTACCCCCTCCAACACACTACAGGTGGGGTTAAAGGTCCCTTGTTAACCTTGGCACCGTGGTGCTCATGGGTAATTGATTGATGAACAACAGTGCAATTCTGCAGGATATAAGTGTTCGTAATCTATTTCATTGATTTTCATAAGTTGGTTATGTGGATCAAGAGTAGGCTAATGCCAAATGAGGGTCTTTAACCAATTATGACAGGCAAATATAGTTTATTCTTTTGGTTAGAAATTTTTAACACGAGTAAATATCATCGTATTTTTTCACTTTGCAAAAGTAAACAGTTAGTTACTGATAGTTTACTGGCTATCAACGGTTAACTGAAATGATATCGTACATTTTCTTTAATCTCTATTGGTTTTTCACAACGAATTGTAATAGTTGAGCATAGACTATGTTTACAAATGAACCCAACAACACACAACCCACCGTTAATGTCTCTTGCTCTAAGAGGATTCCAAGAATGGTTTTAAATTTTTTGAGGTTATTGGGGATTTACAATTACCCGAAACAATCATACAACATCCATGCAAAAAGTTATAAAACGAAAAAGCTTAAAAAGTTTTATAATAGTGCTCTTATGTATCTTAATGCAAAGAATAAAGAATAGAGATGTACTTTTAATTCCTCCAGGTTAGTTGTTTTGGTTTTTTGTTCATCAAACTGCTCCAAAGTTAACCCTAAATAGTGTTAAATTTAAAGTACATAATTAACGATCAGTTGTGTAGATTATTCTGAAAAACATTAAATCTTTCTCATAAATTACTTCATTTGCATGATTTTGAAAAATTAATTTATTTTAATTGAATATTTAATTTTTAATTTTATACATGTTCACCCTAAAACAATGTTATAGTCTTCTATGTGAATATCCTGTAAAATTATAGAGTGTGTGAATAATATTTAACAATCTTGGTCAAGCTTGATCGTATACGGATTGTTTATTTGGTAATCATTGTTAATCGCAAACACTATAATAATTGCAAGTACCTGGTCAGTCTGTTAGCTTTGTTTACAAATATCATAAACAGTATTGGGCTGTATACAACATTTAACTCTAAAACCAATTGCATAAGGATTTCTTCCATTTATGGATTGGACCTAAGGACTAAACTTAGTAATTACTTTTATCTTATTAAATTTATATCTGTTAAGTGTTTTTGTTTTTTTTAGTTTTCATCACAATCTTTATCAGTTATTTTTTTATGAAAACTCAATTTAGCTACTAATATTTTATTTTAATATTTCATTTTATGTGCATAGAGAAAATTGGGTTTTTTTGTAAAATCTAGTTTTGTGTTCTTGACTTGGGTTACTCGGTAAAACAATTGTTATAAAGATTTCTGTCTTAAAATTCATTTAGTTTATACAATTAACGTAGGAAGTACACTAAATAAATAAACGAATTATATTAATTAAATATATTCATATCTATGAAAATTACCGTTTTAAAATGTTGCTACTACTGTATTCGTGAGGAATATTTTTAAGTAAAACTCCAATTATGGAGATACTTTTGTGTTTTATGCTAGTCAAAGCTAATACTGTAACAGCTGGTTGTGTGTTCTGGGCTTGAAAAAATTTGTAAATTATTTTTATGGGATTTCTGCGTGATATATAACTCGATATACATGTTTAATTAAAGGACTATCCTTGTTAAATATGTTATAGCGTAGCAAAAATCATATATGTTAACAATATTGTTTTACAGCTTTATCACAATGACTATGTTATAATTTAAATTGAGGATTCAGATTAGACAGATAAAATTGTGTCTTCAATAAATAATTAAATTTTTGTTTTTAGTATTGGTAGGTTTGTGTTTTTGTGTTCTTGGTTTGAATTACTGTACTCTGTAAGCAATTTTGTCCCAGAATTTATACCCTTACCTATTTTATAAAATTTACCATAGAAATATAATATAACAATATATTTTATTTACTTAATCGTATCTAAAAAAAAATTTGTTTAAACATTTTGTCATAATATGTCCAGCTAATATTTAAAAAATATAAACTCAATTTATTTATTTTTATTTTACTTGGCCTAGGTTACTCTGTAAAATAATTTTGTACTGAAACTTCCTTCAATTACAAAAGTATATATTTAATTTATTTGTAGCTGTGTCCTAAAATTAAGTGTTGGAAAGATATACCTCAAATAAATACTGAGTTGTTTTTTTTTAAATATTGTCAGTTGAAATGTTATTTTTCAACAAATAAAAAAATTAAAAACTTGTACTACCCTCTATTGTTACTCTGAGTACCCTAATAATTTCAAAATTAAAATGAGACTATCACCTCATATTTGTTTGATAAATATTTTTCTAGCTAGAACTACAACTCCCTTACTTACATAACACGTTACACTCGTGTAAGTGCTGTACTCACCTTGTACATGGTTGGTGTGTGTGAGTAGTTGTGTACTGAAGGCTCCCCAGTACGCCGCGCATATATACCGGGGCTGGAACCCCTACCAGGGCTATACCAAGGTCACACCACGCCGCCGCCGCTGGGGCTTCAGCATCAGTTATCGTATGCATTGTGCAGGCGGGGTCAAACAATAAAATGCATTGTCAACAATTATATTTCATTAAATTAAATCATTTAACTAGCCAAAAAAAAGATAACTGAAAAATAGTTGGGATTTTGGAGAAAATTATAGGTATGTAGTAAGCTCTAAAAATAAAGAAATACACATGTATTCGAATATATCAGTTAAATTTCTTAATTGCTGCGTCCATACCAACTTTTAAGAATTCCGTTAAAAATTCTATAGTTTTATAATCATTGAATACAACTCCAAATGTACTTTTAGGTTTAGGTCTACCGAATATATTTCAACAACTATAGAAATTCATAATAAAGATACTTGAGCTTTAACATAAGAAATTTATGCTCTATCCTTCCTCATATTCTCTAATAATAAAAATAAATTGTAAAACGATTTTAGGAAAAACCGAAGCTTGGTAAAGTTATGAAAGTTACATATGTTGAAATGTGAAGTGTTTCTCCGAGCGTATCATTTTATATGGTTCTCAATGGGGGTAAGTCCACTTTCATAGGTATTTTAACATTCAAGCATACGGTTATGCCTATGTTTAGAAAAAGTTCATTTTTTTACAGATTGTTAGAAGGGAAAAGATAAGATACGATATAACATTAATTGCACATAAACAATTTTACAACCAAAATTAATCAAAAGACTAAAATAAATTTAAATTCTCATATTGCCTATAAATCACAGAGCAGATAATCCTTATATATAATACGTGAAGACGATTTCTACGAAACACTACTCCTCCGTTAATAATTGACAGATTTTTACAAACGAGGTGTCAAAATTAAGTATATTTTGTGTAGACGCCCCCTTTCACAAATTCCTGTAATAAAAGTCTTCGGGCTTTGGCCCACAGGCCATAAATTCCCAATGTATTTCTCATGAAGAAAAGATTTTGTTTACTTAAACAGACGAATAATTTTTATTAATTACAGCTGTTCATAGTAAACACATGATACACACAAGAGTGTTCGTTTTCGGAGTGAGTTCGTTTTCAGTTTCGATAGATGGAGTGGAGTGAGCGTTCGTTTTCAGAGTGAGTTCGTTTCCAGTTTCGATAACTGGAGTGGTGTGATTTGATTATATTATCTTAGAGTTGACCCTTTTAAGTCAACGGAAATTGTGAATGTTATTCGTTTAAAAAAAACGCCTTTAATAGTTTGCAATTGCTCGAATTCGAGCAACAAGTGCACTAGTAAAGATTATTCTCTGCTTTATGCCTATAAACGTGGATTGGACGTGTTTAAATGTTGATGTAAAATTGTTTTATACATTTACAGAGGAAACATCAGATTAGGGTATTTTTATAGTTACTTGATATTGATTAAATATTGTCAGAATTTGCACAACTATTTGTGATTCGTTTTATGTTTCAAATCGTGAAATCTTTGATCCGTTTTGTTTTTGTTTTTTTTTCGATATGATAAGTCTTTGCCAGTTTCTGTCCGCACTAGTGAGTACTACGACTATCCGCAGTATTATCCTGATAATTAGACCAATTCGTAAATTACAAGGAAAAATGTGGTTCGGATTCCACTATAAACTGTAGGTCCCTTAGTTGCCATTGGCTGTATGGGCTATTAATTAACAGCTGTGTCTAAGGAACATGTCGGCCTTAGTCACTAACAAGACTACAAGATCGCGCCACTCATCCTACACTCATCCTTCACTCATATTTGGGTTAAAATACGCACATAGTGGCGTCCCCATCTTAAATAATTGAATTGAATTGAATTGAATTGTATAAACAATCGACTTAAAATTTAAATTGACTACGTTACGGTTAAGGGAAAAATAATACAATGTTTTATGTGTGCAGTTTGACTTAATTTGAGTGTAAGTATGAGAGATCGCATGAGAGATTTTAAAACCTTTATTTAACGCATTGAAAAATAAGCATTCGTACTGACAAAATTATCATTTGGTCAAAGTAGCGGCAGAACCAGGGTATAGTTTATACATAAAAGTTATTTTTCACTAGAATTATTAAGAAATCAAGCTGTCATTTGTAGTTAGTTACGTGTATATCAAAGTTAAGTTGTATATAAATAGGTATCACTTTATTGAATAGATCAAATTGATGTTAGTCTACCATTGATTCCTAACGGTGGATGGGTCCACGACGGCTCAAAACTTGCCTAATACATTTTGACGAGTTCATACAAGATAAGAAATAGGGGGTCATTATGGTTGTAAACTCTACAAACTAGATATTTGAATATCAATCGAATGTAAATAGGAGACAAAACACATCAAGAAAATTCCACTTAAATCTAAAAATTAATTAAGAAAAGGTTATTCCGCCTATCCATGTTAATCAAAACATTTACTCCATGAACTATTACAGTAGTTTTTTTTTTACAAAGCTCCAAATTGGGTTGGACCCTACCAAAACAAAATAGTTTTAAGGCGAATCTACGGTATTTGCAGATGAACTTAAAGTTTCCCATATAGTGTAATAATGATTCCACTTCCTCTATTCATTTTCTGGGTAGATGAATGCATATAGCACTTACCTAATAGCAGACGGTTGCAACCTTAATCATAATAAAATTGTGTAGCTTTATCATGGCGCAGTGATGGTGTAGCCATAGATCTCCAGGCCTTGATCAATAGTGCTTGATACAGTTGGTGTTAGTATCAAATCCATCAACTCGTTCAATCAACGCTCGTCTTTCACTTATTTTCTTTTTAAACTAAACACTCTGTTAGGTCAGCGTCGTAATGAATAAATTAATCTATAAAAAATAAAAAATCCATTGTTTAAAAATATAACTCCCATCCTAAATCACGTCCAAAACTCAACCCGACTTTCACGTTTCATCTCGCACGTACGGGAAGATCATTACCCCGTAATGACTCTGGTCCATTGTACAACAGATGATGTAACGTCTAGGACATCACGTGACCTTGGACATTATCACGTGACCTTGAACGTCATCCTCGGAGTGATAGCCGTGACCCCAGCCTCAGGAGAGGAACGCCCCCAAACTGTCTGTCGGTTGCACAATGGTCATTATTGAGGAAATTACAACCTATAATCTCAACGAGGGTAAAAATATAATCATCCTATTGAAAATGTTGCTGAAATTAATAATATCTAGATTGTGGTGCTTCGCAGACTATAAAACTGAAAAAGATGCTGTATTTCGACCGAGAACGAAATCAGGAGTTTATTTTGTATCATAAAAAAGAAAAATGCCAAATAAAAACAAACTTAAGGAGGATTTTGAGATTAGCAGATTTAATTTGACATCAACAAAGTGCTAAATGCAACTCTATGAATATATCACACCATGCTATGAACACATCGAACAACTTAAACTGTATTTAAAACGAATACCTAAGACATAGGTTGTTTCCATGAAAAAAATCATGAACTTCAGATGAGATTGGAACTAATAAACTATTCTATTGCACAACAATTATATTTACTGTACGTAATAAAAAAGCGTATAAAGAAAATTAAATTCAAACACTATTTGGATGTTTCTTACTCACAGTTGAGCCGTTTGACAAATCAATTGCATACCTGAAATAGAAAGAGAGTTGAATTAAATCAAGAGAGTTAGATGAATAAAACAAGATTCTACTATAAATATTTAAACTAGGTTGTGCTGGATAAAACAAATACATTTCTAAAAACTTAAACGCAAAAAACCCCATACACGATTGAAAAATTAATGTAAATGAAAAAACTTTGAATATTAATTTTAGTTATACTAATTTAAAAGAATTTAAATACATGTAAATTTTTTAAACTCTATGTAACTATCTTACTAAGTATAACTACTATAATAATGTATTAGGTGTTTTAAAGAAATCTCTTGTCACTGTAAAATAATATTGTTTCATTACTTTAAGTTTTAGGTTTTAAGATACTAAATATTTATTTAAAATAGTATCTATAATGAATATAGTGAACACGAATAAACATATTATATTAATAATATACTAAGCATTATATCAAAACGTTAAAAATCCTCATCCTGACAAAATAATAAATTCACTTTTTCAGCACAGACCACTTTATCCCTAAAACACTACGGTATTATTAAAACCGTTTACTCTAAAAGAATTAAATTCACAAACAACACAAGGGCTTAAAAAATACCTGGACATTAGGATTATATACCTAAATAATAAAATGAAGTTTGGAAACACTGGGCTGGCAATATAATCTCAAATATAGTAAATACAATTATGTTGAAAAAAAAAACAGTAAAATAGATTCTTGATGAAAACGGCGACATACTGAATAGATAATATCCAAGGATGATTTGTACTTATTTATTAAAACTATGTATGATGTATTAAGGCTAAGGTAAAAATCTTTAAGTAAGGAAGGATCTGACAATAAATATTTACAAAAACTTGCAACTTGTACAGAAGATTACATTTCTACACATAACAAATACACAATAAATACCCTTAATACAGGAAATTTAAAGCTTGCAACGTCAATTTTTACATAATAATTATAAAGACAATTTTTCTATTTAAACTTTAATGATGTTTCTTTATGACTCCTGTTGTTTTAAAAGGGTTGATATTTTAAAATAATTAGACGAACTCAAACTAATTATTTGTTCCTTTTGTAGATATTCAAAGAGGCTTATAGCAATCGTCCATCAGTTATATAAGATCTTTATGTACAGTGAAATTTGCATAATCATAAAATTACTATCTTGCCCAACTCAATAACAGTTTTCATTGTACGAACTGTTTTATGGAAACCGTATCTTGATAACAAATGTCGATTAACCCCTCAGCCTTTATTATCCAACCTCTATTCCACCAAAGTTCATATATCATTTATCAGTAGTTATTATACTATCAGTGATGCAATATCATCAATATCAGCACACCCACGTCAGCCACTGGGTAATCAGCTGTAACTAGAGCAGTCCGACTCCGAGGTGGTTGGCCTACTGTACCAAGGCCGACCTTGCCAAGGTCACCCAGCTGATATCCTACAGCTGTACTCACCTCTCATTCATCAGTAACGATTTTTCTGCCGTAAATTGTAAAGTTTAATAACACATTTATTTTCCAATGTTGCAACTTCATTTTTCGTTACTTTTAAAGGAAAACATGGGGATTAATATTTTATTGATTATTATGAACAACTATATAAATTTGGTAAAATTACGACCAGTAAGATTTGTAGTCAATTGTATACTTAGGTACAGTTTATTATAAAATTGTGTGTGGTAATACAAATAAATTGAAATAACCCAGTGCACTAAAACAGTATGCCAGCACCGATGTTCGGTTCCTAACTGTAGGGTAAAAGTGATTTATAAATCTAAATTGGCAGTTAATACTCATACAGTTGAGATATGAATTAAAAACTGTACATAAAATATAAATGACACTTGTCAAGTCATAAAATTACCCATTCCACAGCTTCTCATAACATTTAAGATGAAAAGTGTTTGTACCATAAATTAACCTGCTGTTGGATAAAACCTTATATTTGGTTACGGAGGCGGGTATTAATAAAACACGTTTTACGAATTTATAGATTGTTTGCAATACTGCAATATTAACACTTATTTCTGAATTATTTCATTAAATAACCGAAAACACAACGCACGTGCGAAACTAAATTCAGTGTGTATGTATACAGTGCGGTACATTATTATTTCACCATTATAACGATCTACACCGTTAGAGCATTTCTGCAAATAAGGTAAATCATAGTAAAAATTAATGAAAAGCTGTTTAAAACAACAAAGTGTGCAATTTTTGGGGACAGAACAATTAATTGACCCATACAGCAACCTCAATTTTACAATCATAATTTGTCAATATTTGAAAAATGGCATGATTCAGCATGTATCATAATGACCATTTAAATGTAAAACAACTACTAAAACAAAACAAATAACTTTCCAACTCATAACTATAAGAGGATGTGAAGCCATTTCTCTTTAGTGTTAAGGGAAAGTTTTGTATTTTTCCAAGTTTACCGAGAAAAAAGGGCAACCAATAAAAGAAGTTGGGGTTTTTTTTCGTATATGGGCAGTTTTAACTTTACATACTAATCTTTAATTATTTATATTGACGTTAAATTTACCATCCAAAATAAAATAATATACATAAACCAATAAGCATCAAAGTAATATTAACCTTTTAATACCAAAAACCAAAATATCGTAATTTCTAAGCTTATAACGCCAAAAATAATAGGCCTATCCCAATAAATAACATTATAATATTAAACACTAAAGAGCCATCATTTTACTAAAAGACAAATTGAAAGTTCTACGAATCACTATTATAAACTATTGTAAAGTCGTGCATTTTCTAAGGTTTTCCCGCCAAAAAATGCGTCTACCTACCATTGGGACAAGTGGTTCCCGGTAGTGTGTGGAATGTTGCGCCACCGGCCCGCGGCTAGGTTACCGCAAGGCTGTACAATGACATTGCCACAGTAACCCCCATCAGCACGGCATGCTGAGCCGCCACCGCCGCGCCAAACCTGGCTATTACCACCTACTTGGGCGACCGGACGTACTTCCTAGTCATATCAAGGTCTGCAAGCCAGATAGCCGATAGGGGAAGTTAGTTTTTGTTTAAACGTACCATGAATATATAAGGAAATATGGGATCAATCGTGGGACAATTTGTTGAAATCTATGTTTATCGTAGTTATCACAGTTGTTTATCAAAGTTTCGTCATATTTTTTTATCTTAAAAGAACATACAACCAAAGTGACAATATTCTGATAATGGCAATAAACATAAGTTCAACTAGCTAAAAAGCTAATAGAGGAATCCAGTTTTTAATTGTTTGCTAGAGTACAGTACCATCAAATATGTAAGGAGGCATTTTTAACACCATTGGTGGTTAGATATGTTTTTAATAGACTTTTATCGTGGTTTTAGGAAAATAAAATGAAAAATGTCTTAATTTGAGAGGCGAAGTTAAGGACTAGCAAGTCCTCTCCACCAAATAACCTCTAAACATAATAACTATGTACTCATTTTTATAATAACAAATAATTGAATCCTTTGAAGGTTTTAATTTTGTTTAATGCGGCCACCTTATGTTTAAAAGGGTAAACCACGAATTAGTTGTAGATTCACTTAAAATATCAACGGCTATAGTTTTTTTTTTATATTTAAAGTTATAATTATTTTTTATATGTGTTTCCATCCTCTATGCCGATATAAAACTATAAGAAGTCCTTACAAAATTGCAGAGCTAAAAAATTTACCGAGTACAAACATTAACCGATTTGCATCGTATTACCAAAAGCACGTTAGTATCAATGAATACCAATACAAATATATGTACCAAAACCAGTCATCCTGTTTAGGTATACAATTAAATATCGTAAGTAATGCATTTTCGTAGGTGTTTTTCATTCCTGATATTCGGGACATTTGATCCAGGCAGTTGCGACAAGCCCTTGTGGTTGTCATAGTCATTTAATCGGTGTGAGACCTCCCAACTAACTAGGTCAAATAATATTACGCCCCAATTCACCTTTCTGACGTCAAAGAAAAATAGAAGTGGTTTTGCCACCTAAAACCTCCTTTGGGTTCCACAACAATAACAATGTTATACATCCAGTCCTGTTTGGATACCTACGAAGAGCAGTAACAGTATATAGGAGTAGAGCGAGTAGAATGGGCCTATATTTGTAAATTGTTGAAAAAACTATTAACTAGCTACAATGTTTAAAGAAATGTGCATATTTACCGAAATGCATCGCATTTATTGATTACACAATCACAACCAAGAACTGAAATATTACTTTAACACACAAACATAATGTGCATTGAAGATTCAACTGCAGTAAATTATCGAATGGCCATATAGTATGAGAAACCTCCAACTATGAACTTGTGACAGCTTGATGTAAATGCATGAAGGTAAACATTGAAAATAGGGTATAGACTCTAGTGTTTTGAATAAAATACAATACACCTACTTAATACCCACTTAAACACATATGACCAATTATAGCTTATACTAATGTCAACAGTTGTACACATCTACCCCCCCCCCCCCACAGTCAAGCACAAATCAAAGTTAGTGACGTCACTACAATGAAGCAAGTACACCACCGTGACGCAACAATCCTTGGCCCCAACGACCATGCGATTGGTTCATCCAACGACAAACGACCCAACGACCTAATGACCCTCGTTAGCTACTTGCACTTTGCACATTGCACCAATGATTGGCAAGTGCACTTGTTACGTGTGCAAATGATATCGTGCTTGGCCTGTGTATCACATAGGACAGTTGCACATCCAGCTTTCAATGCAGTATCCATTATCACGTAGGTGCGTATTTTAACCCATATATGATTAAAGGTTGAGTGTAAAATGGTGAGATGAATGGTGCAGCTTAGTTATTGACTAAGATCAGCTGTTTCATTAGCCAGAACTTAGCTCAAAGATCAGGAACAGCTGGGTCCAGTTTCAAACCATATGGGTGATAATCAACCAATATGCTCAAGCTAAGTACATTAGGATACAATGATCTTCGATTAAACCAGCTGGTAATATGTCGAAGCTGTAGATATGTTATTGCTATTGGAGCCAAAACTGTCAATAAAAATATGGCTTGTGGGAATGATTCTGCAGCAGAATGTGAGGCGTATATAAAGTAGATATGACGCGACTATTGACAAAGCTTTTAGTACTGAGGAAGGAGGTTTTCTTTATTTCAGCGAGTTATTGTGAATTTTCTTGCTCTGAAGTGATATAGAAGGAAGTAATACTCTTAAGCAATGAAATTCATAATATATTAGAAAGAAGTGGTTTTCTAATTGAATGTCCATTTATTTAGATATTCCATAATTTTGAAGAGATACATCTATTACACCAGGATTTACACTTTTTTAATTTTTCCGAGCAAGAGTTTGTCCAAGTCCAGGATATTATCAACCCTTACTCTTGGCTCTATATCTCGAGAACATAAATAGCGCTTAAGTCCGTTAATTGAAAATGAGTTAGTTATTAAAGTAGAATCATCCTATTTTACTCGCCTCTATTATTACTTGGAGTATCAACGTTTTACAATAAATTAGCTATTTTTTTTTTCAATAATTTCATCAAATTATCTTCACATCTAAATAAAATTTTCCTGCTAACTACGTTGACGATACATTAAGAAAACACAGAAGGACCAATGTTTTAACAAGAGCAATCTCCAAAGTATTTTTGACCCTGCGGTATTTGGACATTCCTGCTGGTGTTACAATTTCCTCGACTTCCTCCACGCCCGCTGCCCGCTGCCAGGTCCAGGACCAAGGCTGACCCAGGGTGTGGCAAGGTCCTCGGTCACTTTATATACCTCACACTCCGGGAGACTCTTCACACTTTGGTCACCACTTCACCAATCAACATGGCATTCAAGGTTAGTAGCACTAGCGATCGAGTAAAACCTTTTACAAATTATCTAATGCAAATAGAAATCTTAGTTTTGAAATTTACATAAAAATCTTAAAGTATTGTGATCAAATAGGGTATCATAAAATATTTTGGTTGAAAAGTCAAAATATGTATTTTTGTTTAATATTTCCTGTAGTGAAATATTTTATATTGTTAAACAGTCTGCAATCTTGAACGTTTAGGATAGTATACAAAATACCAGTTGAAAACAAAACAAACTTAATAATTCTACTACAAAATATAATTCCCTTACACATTCTAAAATTTGATAGCCTAAAAGAGAATTTCTAGTTTTTGCATTAAAGTTAATCATACCAAATGTTTAACGAAACGTTGTACAGTGCGAAGGCTCCTTCTCATTAAATTAGATTATGAAACGTACACGTCCATCGACAGAATGTACAATTAACTTATTGATACTGTCTGTAAACTGACTAGAAAGTGAAGTAGACTTTTTATCGAGGCTACAGTAGTTAAATAGAAACATGCCTTTTGTGTATTCAAAATGTGTTTTTTTTTTCAAGACGATTTACATATAGACCCTACGAAAATAAGTTATAAATAAAAACTGGAACACGTTATTTTATTTAGAACCCGTTTCATTCCACTGGTGTATAGCATTCAATCTATCAGATAAGTAACCGATTACATTCATTAAAAGAAATAGTGTTAAGATACACATATTAAGCGTAATTTCCATAAACGGACTGAGTTTAATCTTGAGAAAAGTTAAAAATAATGAATCACAGGGAGAACGCAAAAATAATACGATCAAGCTAAATAGTGTAATACTAATTTCATAACAATTTATTTTACAAAACTTCAACAAAGTTGGAGGATCACATGCCCATCAAACTAATGACATTTTATTTTTTCAGCTTTTCCTCTTCGCCGCCTTCGTGGCTGCCTCCAACGCTGGCGTCGTCCCCGTCGCCCCCGTAGCCTACCACGCCCCCGCCTACGCTCCTGCTGCATACGCCGCCCCCGCCTACGCCCCCGCTGCCTACGCCGCCCCCGCCTACCACGCCCCCATTGTTGCTAAGGCCGTCGCTCCCGTCGTTGCCGCCCCCGCTTACGCCGCTAAGGTCGATGAGTACGACCCCCATCCTTCTTACAGCTACGCCTACGACATCAAGGACGCTCTGACCGGAGACTCCAAGAGCCAGCACGAGAGCCGCGACGGAGACGTTGTCCAGGGATCCTACAGCCTGGTCGAGCCTGACGGTTCCGTCCGTACCGTCGACTACACCGCTGACCCCGTCAACGGATTCAACGCCGTCGTCCACAAGACCGCTGGAGTCGTCGCCGCCCCCGTCGCCAAGGCTTACGCCACCCCTGTTGTCGCTAAGGTCGCTGCCCCCTTGGCCTACGCTGCCCCCGCCTACCACGCCCCCGCCTACGCTCCTGCTGCCTACGCCGCCCCCGCCTACCACGCCCCCGTCGTCAAGACTGTCGCCCCCGCCTACTACGGTTAACTTCCTTCTTCGAGAATGCCATGATCTGCGCAACACCACGCAGAGTGTCTAGTCTCTCTCAAAATTTAATTTATTGAAACTTCCTCAATAAAAATAGCAAAACAATAATGAAACTATGTCTTTTCAATCTATACCCGATAACCTTAGACGGCGATGAGTGACATTGGGGAGTCGCCTTCTAGAGACACCTGTAGCTATCTGGCTCAGTGGTTCACTGGCTCAATGTCGACATATGTCTCCCACACTGCTTCATAATAACCGGAGTGGTCGGTTAATTGGTTAATAGACTCGAGTGGCCAATCAATAACCACCTGACAAGGCCAGCTCAATCCTCATGAGAGATTACATGATTAATGTCAGTACCAACATTTTGCTGTGAAAAATTGACAAGGGAATTCAGTTGAAATGAAAAAAGGTGAAATGTTAGCCGGCTAATGTTAATAGGAAACTCTGATTCACACCTTAGTCTGCAATACAGCTAAGTTGAACTTCAATTCAACTTATTTATTAATTTCATCATGTACGCTACATATCAGTTTTCAAATTTACATCATTAAATTGACCTAAATATATTGAATACAGTTTTGACATCCTAGAAACAAGGTTAGTTCTTCTCTTAAAAGGGAATCTTAAAAGGGTCGGATCATTCAATATGTTTTAAGCTCTAAAGTAACCTCAGTATAATCACAGCCAGTAGATATCGTAGACAGGAAGTAGATCAAAGACAAGATACGTCTACTCTTGCTACCGGTATACCACTTGTCTATTAGCCAACGTGTTACTTTAGTAGCAAAATGACAAACGTCACAAAAAACAATAGTTCATGAAATTATAACTTCAAACGTTTACTCATCTGTATTTTTTAGGTCTGATGTGTTATTGTGTTGTGTCACATTAGAGTAATAATTTTTATCGTGCACAAGAACCGAGCTGTAACCTACTCCAGACGGCATTTTAGATATAAATTTTGGTTTGTAAGATTTTTCAATCGCAAACTCAAGCTGTAAAACCATACGTCAAAAGACACTCCACCCGCACTAACTTCAACAGAAGTCGGTATAATTGGTCTGCTGTCAAAACAAATCGACCTAACTACAGACTGCAACGTTGACTTATGGTCGGTTACCCTTGGATGTTGAACCAGGTCATGTCCAGGGCGGCTCCAGGTCCACGTTGTATGGGAGGCGCCCACCAGCTTGCAACATCTCTGGACCACGGCAACATCAACATTAGCATTCAAAGACATCTAGGTCCGGGATCGTCCACGCGAACATCATCAGTGTAAGTAGCATCTACTATTATGTAGGTTGATGATAAAAGTGTTTAGATGACCTTATAGGGCAATAATACCAAACATTTGATGCGTTTTGTTGATTAGATCGTATGTTTTAGAGTCGCGCAACTGACAGTGCGAGCAAATAGATGATCGGTCTCCTGGTAAGCGTCCGTCATAGTTATTTTGTTAGGTTTCGTTCAAAATTATACTTATACTTATATTTTGTTTATACTTTCTTATGAAATGGCAACCATACGAATGTTCGAAATGGAAAGTTGTCATACGTTCAGAATATGTTTTACTTTATAAACCATGGTTAATTGGTTGGATTTTTTAAAAATATCTCATCAGGATGGATCATATGATTAGATGTATGATAATCTTTACAAGTAAACAACACATGTTTTATAAACACGAATTGTATTGGAACGAATTGGAAAAAAGCATGGTTTTATCTGTTAAGATATTGATGTACATGCCGGTGTTTGTACATTGAATAATTTCAAAGGGTACGGTGGGATCGTGGGGATGGTAAGGCATGGGAACTTGGATACATGAAATGAATCTAATCGTTTAAAATATATCTTACTTTATTGGTAATAAACTAAAAAAAAGCCTTTCTAACATTTGCTTTACACCAAAGATTCTATACTTTACTTCTATACCTCAAAAATTCTATGAATTCACATATATTTGGTGGTAAAAAAGGCACTTACAGTAAGAAATGTAATTTAGAGATAAGTATTTTCAATACATGTTCTAATACATTGTTCAAGGAATCTTTTGACAAAATCTGTACGTTTACATTTAAAAATATTAAATTAATAATGCTAATGCCAGTTAATGATAATGATCTTAAAAACCTTGAAGTCATTTTAAAAACAATAAAAGTTCGTTACTCCTTAAAAACGAATTAAATTTTAACTGGGATGTAATAAAATCAATCTTCATTGCCCATCCCAATTTATTCTCAAATAGTACGTTTTATAGCCCTTAAAACCCCATTTGAATGTATCATTAAACCGGAATGTTCCTGCTTCATTAGTACAAAGTAATCGTGTGACATAACCACATTTTATAGGTCACTATGTCTGGCTGACAACTCACTCTTGGCTTAATCACTCATTCCTAGTGAGTGAAAGTGACCTTGACCTTTGGTGAAATCGCACTACAGTAGATAGCGATATTTGACGTCCAGTTGTCAGAAATACCGTACGTATTATTTATTGTATTATTTATTTCTCGTCGTTCCTAGCTCTATTGTCCGTCCATTGCATGTACTGTTTTCTATTGTATTGTATTGTCACCACGGTATTATATTTATCACTCCAAATATTCATTATTATTTATTGTTATCTTTTCTAGGTTAGTCTCATTTTACTTTTGTTATGTACATATTTCTTAGACTTGAACTATACTACTATTTATTCAATAATGTCTTATATTATTTATTTCTTGTTGTTTATTTCTTTGTTAGGTCTAGTTTTTTACACGTATTCTTATTGCATTATTAGCTACTATAGCTATTGTTACTTAGTATTTATTGTTGGCTTACCATATATTAGGCTACTTAGTCATGATTACCAATCATATTATGTAATTCAAATTTAAACTTGTAAAATCCGTGGGCAATAAATAAATAAAAAATATATTTACGTGAACCTAATAGCAAAATAATGTCATAGTTTTACTTGTTCAATACCATTCTGATACTTTCATTAGTTTTGGTATTTATTTTGATTATATATAAAAGTTTAATTACATAATATTATTGTTATATATAATGATAAATACTCACATTTACTAATCATCGAACTTAATTATTACGTAGGATTGTTAAAATACTTAATAGAATTTCAATTATATATTAGGTCTACCACAACATGCAATAACGGCCCATATGTATTGCAATATATTTTTTAAATGTCGCAAAAAACTAATCAAATAATATAACAATATTACAATGAGCAAAAATAAAACCTATTTCTTTATTTACATATTAATACGTTGTTCTCCACTACAATATTATTCTAGTAAACGTGATTTTTTTACCGACTTTGATCTCAAATCGTGTTATGATTAAAACTTATTTCGGATCATCTCAACTATCATTCGTGACCTTGTTCCTAGTACTCCTGGGCTGCACACAAATAGGACGGTATATGTGTTTTAACAAACTTATAAATAAGTTTACTGCATGTGTGCGTTGGTGTTCAATGTATTGGATCTGCAAACGACACCGAATGAATTTACCAAACGTTGGCGCAAAAACAAATAAACATTATTATGTTTTAAAACAGTCTAGCTGCAATTTTATTTTGCCCTAAATTAGACAGCTATTTTTATACAACGTTATAATATCAATTTAATTGTTATAAATACTTATAGGTTGAAAATCGAAGATAATAAATAACAGTCTTGGTTTCATAGTTCCATCTTCACACTGTTTGTTAATTTAAATTATATGTTTGTGTTTAAAGTTAGGTGTAAGAAAGGTTCATGAAGCCATAAACATTGCCTAAATAAACATTTTTTTTATTTCATTTTCTAAAAATATATTCAGTAACTAAAAAGTGTTTGCTGCATTAAAAAAGTAGTGTTCCTTAAAAAAAAACATCGCCTAAATAATGAGGGTTCAGAAGGGAAAGAGAAGTTTAGCCCTAAGTTTAAGATCTTCTAATTGGTTTACTTTTGAATTTCAATTATAGTCAAGGGCTATATTAGTAGTTAAACATTTTCTATGAATATATATGAACATGGAATAGGTTATTTGCATTATCAGCATTTCTTTCTGTTTTCACTTGCTGCAAGCTACAAACAAAATACAGTAGTAGCCTATCTATAAGAAACAATTTTGAACATAAGATGTTGTTCTAAAATATACATATTAAATTTCACAATACTCACTGAAAGGGAATACCACACACAGAAATAAAAAAATTCAGTACTTCGGCGATTAAGTTTTGGTAGGATAGGGCTAAGTAAAACAATCGGTATGTGATCGGAACTATTTTACCCTACAACGAGTAATCTTCAGTGTCAATTTTGCTCAATAGTTACAACTGATGTTTTCCCCTTTGTACTGTATTTTGTAATTTGCTAGTACATTGTGGATGGCTTGTTAAAAACACATGTGACAAGTCCTTTGTTTACTTTTTCCTTGTTATTTTTTCCAAACCCACATATTTACTTTGCAGCCCATAAGGCCAACGTTAAATTAAGGAACGCGGCAGCGTTCCGCCCCGCCAAGTCCCCCAGCGGTACACAGCTGCTGCAGTGTATACATGACGTGACAAAGTGGCTTTTTTACTCGTCTATAGCTCTGAAGAAACAAAAGCTATTAAAATAATTGTTCATCTACTGGATAGGGGCAATCATTCTCAACAAAATTAAAAAAAAGAATTTAAAAAACGGTTGTGTTTGAGCCAAGAAAAACTAGTTTGAAAATTCACAAATTTTCCGTGTTCTCCTTCTTCTCCTTAAATGTTGACGGACCTACAGCCCAAACCACTGGCTCAATTTTAATGTTTTTTATGTTGTTTGAAAGCCCTTAGCGTGTAGATGTGCCTTTTGAGGGTCTCAAGTCGGTGCGTTGACCCATAAACCCTTGGCAAGCCCTCAAAGTACGAGTTTGGCCCATTTAAATAACATGGGATTAAAATCAAAACAAAAGAAGGACCAGCTGCGATTAAATCTTAATTAATTAAATGTTAGAGAAATTCATAGGAACAGCTGAAAAATTATTTTAATACTTTTATAAAGTATTTTTTTCAGGTGTACTGAATGATTTGAACTACTTACTATATAAAATTACTTAGAGCAGTGATATTCCCCGAT